ACCTCGCTTTTCAGACCGATGAGCTTTGTAAAAATCGACGCGTTTCAGAAAGGCAGGGCATAGAGGAGAAACAATAATGTACAGTATGTGGAAAATAATGTGTTTTTTTAACCTTAAACCGCATAAACACATTTCATTACTCCAAAATAATGTTCATTTTAGGAGCATCATATGACCCCTTTAAAGTTCTCCAAATGAAGTAATTAGCAATGCATATTACTATCCTAATTATTTTTGGCATAAAAGAAAAATCGATAATTTTGACCCATACAATGTTTTTTTGGCTATTGCTAATAATAATACCCCAGAGACTTAAGACTGCTTTTGTGGTCCAGGGTCACAAATAAGCTCGAGAGCCGCAGTTCTTCCACTGTGACTAATACAGTTAAGATGGTTTGGATGTTTGCGAGATGTTTTTCAGCTAACAGCATGAGCGAGCGCCGGCTGTGATGATGAATGCAGTCTGGAACTACTGTGTGTTTCATAGTAACATAGTGAACAGAAAGGCTTTGTCTCAGAGATGAATTAGGCCTGATTTCCATTCAAAGAGAAAGGTAAACTTGAAATCGCATCATATGACCCCTTTAAGTCATTTCATGATCATTCTTTCCCAAGCCGTATTTACTACTTTAAGGGTTAATATCTATGTATAAAATGTTTGCTAGCCGATGTGGTTGGTTAAAACTTGATTCATTTGTCTGGGGGATATTTTTAATGTGTATTCAGGGTTTTTTTCTGAATAAAACTAAACATTTTGCTCTCTCTCTCTCTCGTTTTTTTTTTTTTTGTACAAAATATATTTTTAGTAATAGGCTAATGCTACAGAGAGTTGGACAATATACCCACAGAAATTTGTTAATTTTAGTTATTTTAGTGCATCAAGTTAAACTAAAAGAATATGAGAAATTTTGCCTTGGCAACTAGTTGAAATAAAATACGTATTTTAATATGTAATTTTATTTCAGTAGGAATTAGTTGACTAATTGCATATTTATACTATTTTATTTAAATATATGGGGAGTGAAGAGCTAAACTAATGACTATGTGTTGTGAAAAATAGCAAGGAGCTATTTTAAATATTTATTAATAAACTATTGTTTTCTGAGTCAGTGTCAGCTGCAAAGAAAAAGTGGATGCTGACTTGTCATCTCTGCAGTACAGTGAGTGGACATGCCTTTAGAGGGAATTTAGAGGGATTACATAATCACAGAGTATTTGTTTTTCGATTTGAATTGGTTTATTTTAGAGTAGACGTTTCTAGCTTTCTGTAAATGATTTCTCATGTCTGTGAGGCAAGTATATGGTTTTTGCCGCTCCTGAGTTTTTGCCATGTTTTATTGCACAGAGACAGAGACGGCAGAAAGTGCGTCCTGATTGTGTTCTTTATTTTACAGAAGCGCAACGTCTTGTTGATATTATGAATGTATTCAAATAAAAGTAGACCCTTGACAGTTTCGAATAATGTAATACTCTTATCTGTATGAGCAAAAATTATGGCGTATTTTGTTTCCACTGTTATCGGGAAAAAAGGCCAATGATCACATTGGCACCTTCATATCATGCAGTAGCGCACTAATAACTTCCATGCTCTGCACAGCGCCTAATACACATTTACACACATTTATCTAAGGTAACATTAGAGCAAACGGCCATTATAGATGCTACTACTTATGTTTTTTCATTTGAGGTCGATGAATGATAGGCATACATTTGGATTTTCTTGCCCAATATACTGTAATTACCTCAAGGACCAGCTGTTAACAATTCTTTCCAACAATGTCTTGTTCTCCACAGCACAGACTTTTCTACTTTCTCCACTCTTCATAGCTACTCATTAGCAGACAAACAGCTACCGAATAGGACTTCCATGACAATTATCCCATCAGGTCCTTAATTACAGAGCACAAGGCAACTGAGATCTTATTAAACCCCCCAATCATGCTCTTGGATAAGGGTGCATGTCCTCCACACCATCACGACAGGGTTAAAGTGTCAATGCTATGGCATTAAATCAGATTCTTTTTTATTGCAGTGATGTGAAATTGAATATGCACCATTCTTCTGTGCTCTGCGTGTCTGAACAGGAGGGATCGCAGTCGATGGCGGTGTCCTGAAATGACGTTTGGGCTCATGATGGCGTGTCAGAATCAATTTAGCATGATAAGAATCACTGTGCTTCTCTGATGTGCCTCAGCGATCTTTATGCTTCAGCTCTGATTGAACTTGATGTCCAGTGCTTGCCGGTCATGTTTTAGTGTACTGTCTGGTTTAGAACAGGATTGTAACTGCGCAGTATGTCCCCAATCTACAGTTGCATCCCATTTGGTTGTTTCCTACAGTGACCTTGTCAAGCAATGACATCAAATTAGTTCACTTTAATGTCAACAACAGTGGTGACTTTTTATGTCAACACACGTTGCAGGGTTTTTGGTATCATAATTGCATTTAATTGTTGAAATTATCTCTCTCTCTTTGTGTGTGTGTGTGTGCAAAATGCTATGTAATTATGTCACTATAAACTATGCAAAATGTCACTATAGTAAAATTATAGTAAAATTTGTGTGTGTGTATATATATATACTGTATATACACACAAGCACAATAAATCTATATGAAATCATATATAAAATAACATGAATATTAATGAATGACACAATGTATGTATTTTATACAGTATATATTATATGTATATTGAAATTGTGTGTGTGCAAAATGCAGGAGTCAGTGTAGTTAAAAAAAAATGACATTTATGTATATTTTTGTAATTTTTTATTTATATTTTTATTTGTGTGTGTATACACACACACGCACACAATAATAATAATAAATAAATATAAAATAATATATGAATTTTAATAAATAAAAAATTATATATAAAGTTATATATAAATATTTCTAATTTTGTAATTTCATATATATATATATATATATATATATATATATGTGTGTGTGTGTAATTTCAATTTGAAAAGCGCAGACAATTTAGCTCAGAAAATGAGTGAAAGCTGTATTTAATGGCAGTGGGTTTGTGGCCTTTAAAAACTGCCAGTGAAAGAAATATTACTGTGAAATAAGCACATGCATTTTTGTTTTATTGTTCCTACTGTGCAAGACAAAGTGTGTCTGTACTTAAACTGATAGCATGTGCTATCTATTGAGTTACAGTCAGATTACTGTATAAATAGATGCATACAGGCGCTGGGAATAAATGCATTTTTGTATGATTCTCTTGTCTCTCTCTCTCACAGAGTGACCGACTTCTAATCAAAGGAGCGAAGATAGTGAATGATGATCAGTCTTTCCATGCCGACATCTATATGGAGGATGGAGTTATCAAGCAAGTGTTTTTGTTGTTGTTGTTGTTGTTATTTGATATCATTATTTTTCTTGTCATTATATCTCATATTCATAAGTAATGACTGACAGTAGAGATGACCTCTGTTGTCCTTTGTGACTGTCTCTTTTTCTGTCTCCAGGCAAATCGGTGAAAACCTCATAGTTCCTGGAGGTGTGAAGACCATCGATGCCCACGGCAGGATGCTGATACCCGGTGGGAATGAAAACTGTATTTAGTGGCAGCGGGTTTGTAGCCTTTAAACCGAGAGTAAAAGAAATGTTACTGTGAAATATGCACATACATTTTTTTTTCATACTGTGCAAGTGTTTCTGTGCTTAAACTGATAGCTTGTGATACCTATTGAGTTACAGTCAAATTACTGTATAAATAGATGCATACATGCAGACCCTGGGAATAAATGCATTTTTGTATGACTCTCTTGTCTCTCTCTCTCACAGAGTGACCGACTTCTAATTAAAGGAGCGAAGATAGTGAATGATGATCAGTCTTTCCATGCCGATATCTATATGGAGGATGGAGTCATCAAGCAAGTATTTTTTTAATTATTTGATGTCATTATTTTTCTAGTTTGTCTCATTTTCATAAGTAACCACCGACAGTAGAGATGACCTTTGTTGACCTTTGTGACACTTTTTTTGTCTGTCTCCAGGCAAATCGGTGAAAACCTCATAGTTCCTGGTGGCGTGAAGACCATCGACGCCCACAGCAGGATGCTGATACCCGGTGGCATCGACGTTCACACCCGCTTCCAGATGCCCGACCGGGGAATGACAGCTGCTGATGATTTCTACCAGGGCACACGAGCTGCTCTCGCTGGTGGCACCACTATGATCAGTACGTCTAAAACATAAATATATATATATATATATATATATATAAATGTATTTAACATATAAACGTAACATATTTTTCTTAAATATATACATGCATGTGTGTGTATTTATATATACATAATAAATATACACAGTACATACACATATACTATGTAAACAAAAACGTTTATTTTGGATGCGATTAATCGCGATTAACGCTTGACAGCACTTATATACAGTATATATATATATTTGTGTTGCAGTAATTTGCTTCTAAATCTATATTTTTCATTTCACGATGTTGAACATGATGCTTACTGCATACAGTTTGGGGGGTTTGGGGAGAAAGCAAAATATTACATATCAATTTTTTTTAGATAGTCAAATTTGACAAATTGAAAAATGACAAAATCACATAACAAAATATCTCAAAATTAAATAATAATAATAAAAATTTCAAAATGTTGTAAATGACATTTCATGTGTCCAGTTCCTTGGTTAAGGAAAGAAAACAAATAATAACGCACAAAATAATACAATGTTTGTGTTCATATGCTTTCAATGACAAATTAAAAATGGCAAAATCACATAACAAAATTACTTAAACTAAAATTAAAATGAAAACTAAAAAATTTAAAAATACAAATTCTAAATATTAATAAATGCTGTAACAGTATATAAATGATACTAAAATAACACTGACCCCAAGTCATTCTCTATGATAGTTTAGCTTAAAAACTGGGACAAATTACATGTTTAACATCTTTCCATTTCCTTCTATACATTTACATTTCCGTCAACATAAGTATACAGTATCACTATATTTTGATTTGTTTGTGTGTTTTCAGTCGATCATGTGGTCCCAGAGCCGGGCGTCAGTCTGATCGCTGCCTTTAACCAGTGGAGGGAGTGGGCCGACCACAAGTCCTGCTGCGATTACTCTCTTCATGTGGACATCACAGAGTGGCACAAGGGCATGCAGGAGGAGCTGGAGGCGCTGGTCAAAGATCACGGTATGCTCCTCTGCAGTTTACACACTTTTGCATGTGTGCAACAAAAATGAAAGCTTACATGTAGGTTAGATCAGTTGACAGCATTTGTGGCCATGTTGATTAACAGAGAAGATAATTGTAACTTTTCCCACAAATTATCAAAGTATCAAAAAGTTCAGCTGCAGGACTTAAATATTATGTGTTAACATGAGATTAGAGTGATAATATATGCTCATGTCAAGGGGGTAAATCTGGTGACTTTCACATACTATGTGCAATTGTCTGTTTATATAGAGAAAAATCTAAATACTGCAGTTACATCAGTGATTATTAACCTGTGTTCTCACGTGAAAAGTGATGATTTAGGCAGTTTACATCTTAAATTAAGATTTGAATTTAACAATATAGAATCTTTTCATAAAAACACTTCATGAAAATAATGTATAATTATTTTCGTAAAAACATCACATGAAAATCATCTTTGAGAATAAATAAAACGAACAAATATAATGAATAATTTAGAATTTAGAACAAAAAGCAAAATAGCTTATATAAAATATATACAATAAATTTAAAAAATGTAAAATACAGAATGAATGAATAATTCAGGATAAGCAAAAAAGTAAAACAAGTAAAATTTCAAATGCCAAATGCAGTTCAATAATAAGAATTGGGTGCCAAAAATGCTTCATATTCACAAAAATAATGTCACAATGCAGCAGTTTTATCAGTGGAGTTTATATACCAAGAACAGTATTCCCACATGGAAGTGATGATTTAGGTACTTTATGGCTAAAATTACACACGAGGAAGTCACCTACATCTTGGATGCCCTGAGGGTAAGCAGATAAACATAAAATTTTCATTTTTGGGTGAACTATCCCTTTAACAAGAATACAACCTGCACATTTCTGCTTTTAAGCACTCAAAGTCCATGAACTCATTACTTCAACCTTGCCTGTTTCAGCAGCTCCAGATCTCTGTATGCACGTCCATGTCTGATGTCTTACATCCTGGTCTTTTTTTTTCTCCCAGGTGTCAACTCTTTCCTGGTCTACTTGGCATACAAGGACATTTTCCAGCTAAACGACTCCCAGGTATGCATGATTTCTCATGCATATTCGTTTCATTATCCTGATAAAGATGGATTAGACACTAAATGAGCAGTACTGGTGTTTTTGGTGCGTTGAGAGTGCAGTCATGATGAGTTCTCCATGATTTGAGCGTGCAGGGCTGATGGTCACAGGGGAACAGACATGTTTGCTCTGATGATGTTAAGCACATTTCCTGTAGCTGTAGATCCAGAGCCAATGATAAAACAAACTGCACTGCATAAACACAGAAACCACACCCAGTGCTGTGTTTCTCCTGTCTGTTGTAGATGTATGAGGTGTTCAGTGTGATCAGGGACTTGGGAGCCATCGCCCAGGTGCACGCATATATTTTTTATATTTTTTTACTAGTGGGTGCAGGACACTATAGTTCATTTATGTAAGTGAGGATAGCAAAACTGTGACATATTGTACCCAAAAATTCTTCATACAGTGGACTACCACTTTTGAATTGATAAAAAATTTGGGACCCTGACTGAGTTCTTGTCATATTGTATTACCATTTTCTAAACTATAGCAAATAAACTGTGATAATGTGAGAAATGTTGAAGGTGTCTGAATAAATTTTGGTTTGACCGTATGTCACCTCAAAAAGAGGATACGATTTTTTTGCACTGTGACTTTTTTCATGACAATTAAATTATCCTCCCTTCCCCAGTTCTTATTACAGAAAATATGTTTTGTGATGTAAAAAGAAATGTAATTCTCATTAATGCAGGTGAAAAATTATATAATATTAAATGTAGTATTTGTTGTACTGCTTTATGCTGATTTTTTTTTTTTAATCATTAAAAAATTATATATATATAAAGTGTCTGAATTACAGTGATGATCATTTGGAAACAAATGTGCTTAAAGGGGTGGTTCACTGTTTTTTTTCTAGGCTTAATTGTGTTTATGGGGTGCAGTCTAACGTGTTAATGCTTCGTTTTAAAAAAAAAAAAATCATTATTTTTCACAGGTCCATGTTTAATGCTTCTCATAGCTATGTGAAAATAAGTGTATAATTGGAACAGTTTATTATTGGAGCTGAGCTGAATGAGAGAAAGAGAGAGAGAGAGAGATGCAGAGCGTGTGCAGAGCAGGTGGACGCGAGGAACAGTATTAAGATCTGCTGTTTAGAACATTGATTTTGAAATTTGTGAATCCATTAGAATCGTTAGAAGACAGAATCGCGATTCATATATGAATAGATTTTTACGTGCACCTCTAGCTTTCTACCTCTAGTCACAGTATGGCCTCGCCCCCTTTGCTGCCTTTTCCCGAGGGCGGGGTTTATCTGGGTTTGTGATGTCACGAACCCGGGAAATAACTTGTTGTAGTCCCTACCAGCCGTATTTGTAGGCATTAAACCGCCAGAATTTTAAAAGACTTAAATATCTCCGTTTGCATTGAATTTTCAGCTTCGTAACTTTGCAGATATTGTTTATGCTCAAACAGCAACATTACACAC